GTTCCACATCAGAAAAGACCACAACAGGCAGCCACGTCCAAGGCTGCTTCTAGACAACGCAGAGAGGACAGGCAGCAAGGACATGTGAAGCTTCTGAAACCAGAACGTACTAAACGAGGCTCCTCACGGCTCCTCACAGACAAGGGATCCACACAGGACAGCCTGTCTTCCCCCTGTGCCGGCCCTAATAAACCAGTATCCAGCACAGAGAATTCAGAGCAAGTGTAATTTATTTCAGATGCAGGAGGGAAGAAGGGAGCTCTCGAGATGTGGGTCCAGGCTCTGTGGGGACAGGGTGGTGCCTCCAGCACCCCACAGCCAGGCTGGGGCTGCTGCAGGTCGGATTCAGGCCCATCCATCCAGCACACTCCCTCCGTTTGCACGCAGCCCACCACGCACCCAGCAAGCCTCCTCCTCGGTTTCCGCCATGCCATGTGCTGACCTCGCACTGGGTGTGTTGCAGGAAGATGCTGTCTGAGCACGGCTGCCGCCACTGAAGACCACAGACTGGGGGGCTTAAACCATGCGCGTGCACTCCCACAGCTCTGGAGGCCGGGAGGCCGTGATCAAGGCACCACCGACTCCGTGTCTGGTGGGGGCCTGCTTCTCACAGACGGCGCCTCCTCCCTGCGCCTTCACATGGTGAAAGGGGCCGGGCAGCACTCTGGGCCCCCTTTCTAAGGGCACTGATCCCCCTCACGAAGGTGGAGCCCTCATGACCTAATCGCCTCCCAAAGCCCCACCTCCTCCATCGTTCCCTTGGCGGGGAGGACTTCACCACGGGAACCTGGGAGGACAGAAGCATTCAGACCACAGAGCCAGGACCGGCTCCTACAACTGGGGCCTGAGCACCTCCCAACACGGGGCAGACCCACCTCCTCAGCCACGAGTCCACGAGTCTGACACTCAGGACGGCAGGCACAGCGTGGACGGCAGGCCAGCCAGGGGTGACGCCAGGCACTCTGGAGCCAGGCCCACGCTCAGGACCAAACACTTGAAAGTCCCAGATCCCAGAGGCCTGGAAGCCGCCTCAGCACTGACCGTGGAAACACAAACAACATTTTCTCCCGCCTCCTGCACTTTCTACAGTGACCGCGTTTTACAGAAAGGGTTTCAAAAACCACAAAGGTCACGTTCAGCTCTTCTGTTTATCAAAGGAGCTTGTTCAAGGCTACTTTAAAAATAAAATAATTGCATAATGGAAACTCTAGGATAAAAAAAACAAACAAACAGGTTAGAGACTCAGCGTCTGTGCAACTCCTCTGACCCCCAGGCCTGGGCTGCCGGGCACGCGGCTGTGGCGTGGGGCCTTTGCCGGGCCGGGCCCCTTACGGCCAGAAGCCCACCAGGCCCCTGGCCACTCAGCCAGCCCCCAAGCGACCACATCAGGCTGAAAAGGGGAGACACGGGCTGAAATCTCACTTTTGAGAATAGTCATCTCTAAGTGTCACTGAAATTTCTTCCTTCTGAAGAGGCCTCTGCCAGGAAAACCAAGAATAATTGGTTTTAAACCAGGAAAAACTGCACAGAGCAAATCATCATTCGCTATTTTTCACTGAAAATTATGCTATTGTCTTTTGTGAAGGTTTAATGTTCCAGGAAGGACACCAGAGCCGTCGGGTTACATAGACTCAGCGCGGCGTCTGCGGAGGGGAGGGGCTCGGCAAGGCAGGACCGCGGTGGCTGGGGTACTCGGGCCGTACCGCACAGGAGACCTGCTCGTTCAGAAGGCATTTCCAGGACCACCGGCTAATCCTGCTATCAAAGTCACAAGAAAGAGGGAAAAAAGGAAAAACAGGAAAAAAGAAAGGGTGGGCATGTATGCACGCGGAGCTGGCCCTGCACCTTCGGAGCGAGGCCCCCCACGTGGGTCTCGCCTCCGCTCCCAGCGCCTCTGCCTGAAGACAGCCCCCCGCACAGGAACAGGGCCCAGCGTGGGAATGCGTGGGAATTCCCCACGCTCCATGCGGCACCGACCGGGACCTCACAGATGCCCATGAGACACCCCAAAGGCCACCCCGCCTGCCTCACCCACTAGGGCCTCCGCTGTGGCTTCACCCTGCAGCTGTTCACGCCAAAATATTCGTAACAAAGCCTAGGAGGCCCAGAGAGCTGGATCTATGCTCCTAGCACAGCCCAGCGCAGCCACGCCCAGGGCCACTGACAACATTGGGCAGGCAGAGACCACGCCCGGCCCAGAGAACAGCCTTTGCTGCAGTGGGTCTGGGCACTGCATCTGGTGGGCCCAGAGGGCTGCAGGTCATCCCTGAAGCCCTCGAAATCCGGATTCTACCTGGGCAGGACAGAAAATGGGAGGGAAAGAGCTCAAACCACCCAAGCCTTGAAGGCCCAGCCCTGCCCACCACCCAGACCCTCCTCTGACGGGGCCTCCCCCCTGCCCGCTCATTGTCTGAGACCCTCCTGTCGGCCACTCCCCATCCCTACCCCTGAGGACCCTCCCTCCAGATCCTCTCCTGATTGGACCCCAACTTCTCCTGCAGGGATCTGCCTTTTGTTCCCATCCCAGAACAAAGCACAACCTCAGTAACGGGACTTTCATCAAGGTAAGTCAGTGAGTGAGGGACACCACCTACGAACTCCCAAGCTGACACCCCAACGGTGAGGACAGAGCAGGAGGGACTCGCAGGGCCTCTGCGTCAGGTGGGACGTGCACAGCTCAGCCCTGCAGCCAGAATACGTGGCCATCCCCACGATGCCCGCACAGCCTGCAGCCTCAGAGCAGCACCTGGTCTCCACAGCCCACCTGCACCCTCCAGCAAGCTGGCCAGGGGCACAGATGCACCTGGTGGGCCTCTGGGTCCACTTTCACCTGTCCGTGCTCAGGCCACACGGGCCCAGAACCAGCGAGTGGCGCAGGCCATCCAGGACACAGGCCTCCAGACGTGGACCCACCACGCTGCCACCCTGTCCCTCAGGTCTTAGGCCCTCGGCCCTGAGGCTCCAAGGAAGGGAGGCCCGAGGCCACCTCCATATCTGCCACCACCTCCTGTTCCATCAGACACAGAGCCGCAGGAGCAGAGGGCAGAAGACGAGGGAATTCCCGTGCTGCTCCTGCATGCACCGCGAGGCCAGCCTGCCCTCTAGGGAGCGGAGAGGGGGCCCCTGCAGCCACGGCAAGAGCTCGGGCTCCGCCCGGGGTGGAGAGGCCGCCCGTCTGCAGGAGCTGTTGCTAATACCCGGGTGGGTGTCTGTCCGCGGCGGCAGCGCACCATCAGGAATTGCGAGGCAGGCCCAGGGCACTGCCATGTCTCCTAAGACAGTGCTCCTCCAGGTCGGCACCCAGTTTTATTGGGATCACATCAAAATATGACAGGGATAAAATGAACCAGGAAAAGGCAGCGTTTTCAGAAAAGCCAAAGGGAAAATATGAAAATACAACGGCAGACTCTAATTTCAGCTACGAATGTGGGCAAGTCGTGCTCCTGGTCTGCCACACACACAAGAGCACACGGTAAATGGAAACCAGCCCCGGAGCGGGAGCTAAACTGTGGGCAGGAAGGAGGGTTCTACCCAGACATGGGGCTCCCTGATGGGCACACACAGAGAAACCCTGCCCACAAGGCATACCCGCCAACGCGCCCCTGAGATGCAGGCGGCTGGCAGGGGCCCGCCACGTGTAGTCAGCTCCCTGGGTGGGGGTGGCCAGAGCGCGGCAGGGGCAGCTTCAATTCCAAGGGGCCTCTTCACCAACGGGGCGCTGAGCAGACGGTGGTCAGTACATTATAATTAGTCCTCTAATGAATTCATTATATCTACCCCTTCGATTTATAAATATTTCATGCCTTAAAAGAGGAGAAGTTTCTCTCATCTGCATGTCTGAGCAAAGACTACCAAGAGGGCCACCCGGTCCCTTTAGAATAAATGCACATCCGTTACCTAGTGTGGAGCACACACACTCCCCATGCTCACAGGCACGCACCCTCCTCTGGAGTGGCCTGGACGCTGGCAGGCAGGGCACAGACCCCGAGAGAGGGTAGAGGCCCCCGCACACCCGGCCCTGCCCTGGCCCCACCCCGCACCTCCCCCCTGCCACCCGCGTCTGACTGCCTCTCCACCCAGCAAACCCACCAGGTGAGACACGCAGCTGCCGGGAAGACCCAGAGTGCGGCAGCCACCCAGCCCGGCAGGGTCTTGGGCCTCCACTCTGCCTCACCCAGCCCCCTCCACCCACCGGCCTAGGAAACTGGAAAATATAAGCAGCCCTTGTCCCCAGCTCAGCCTTGCCAAGGGCAAACACACGGGCACCTACGTCCATGCACAAGGAACCCCACCCCACACTGGCCTCCTCACTGGCCCCCCAGCCACGCTCCTCACCCGCCAGGTCTCCCTCAGCGTCCCCCATCACAGTGTCCTCTCACACCCCACCCAGGCCCCACCACGCCCAGCCACAGGACCAGGGGCTCCCTGCCTGCCGGGAATGCTCACCACGGGAGGGCAGGGACATCCCGGCGTCTGAGACAGAACACGCCACAGCGCCACACTGGACAAACACCTGTTTAGCACTGGACTGAGGGGCCTGCCCTTGACCCGACAGCTCCGGCCTGAAAGCTTCCCAACCGGTCCCTTCCTCCCCAGCCCCAGCACCACCTTCCACCCAGGCCCACCGGGCCCTCGTGTGGCCCCTGGCTGGGCCCCGGCTATCCTCACTCCCCACGACAGGACCCTCCCGAAAGTCACTTCCAGCCTCACCACCACCCACCGACAGCCTCCACCCAGGACGACACGGAGACCAGAGCAGGGGACCCGGGCCGGGAGAGGGAGGGGTATGAAGGGACCTCCGAGGAGGACCTGGCCCCCGCTGGCCACATGAGTGGTGGCCTGAGTGCAAAACAGCAATGCGGAGCCGGGACGCACCTGGCAACGGCACACGCCTGCATCCCACAGACACACGCGACCCTCGCGCAGAGTCCCCCACATGAAAGGAAGTACCCGTCACGGGAGCGATTAATCTGAGAGAGCGTGCTCCGAGCAGTTCTTACCTGGTAAAATTCCCGAAGCCAATTCTTCTGTAGATTTTCGGGCTGTAATTAAGAAAAAAAGAGAAAAACAGTCAAACCATGGACACAGCCCCCAACAGCTACAAGCAGAAGCCGCCGAGAAGAAACCCATGGGCCAGCCTCACAGAGGGGGCTGCACGGGGACCCTGCTCTATGTTGGAGCCCCCAATCCACATGAGTGAACCCCAACCCACAGGGGGTACCCAGCTCCATGCAGCAGGGACCGTGTTCCACAGACTATCCCAGGACATGAAGCTCGGGGCAAACCTCGCCTGGTAAAGGCAGGCACACATGCGCCCTGCATGCCCCCGACCTACAGCCCAGCCCGCCCTGCTCCGTGGTGGGCGTGAGGAGGGGGCAGCACTTGTCTGCTCCAAGCCTTCGGATGCTCCCGCAAAGAGACGGCACAGAACGTAACCAGCTCCCGCAAGCAAGCCAACGCCACGTTTCCACACACACGCCTGCCTGGGCCAAAGCCACTTCACAGGAACCCGGACCTAGGGCGCTTCATGGCACATAAAATGTTCACAGCCACACAACAGGGGCATTTCTGTTTGGGGCGAAAAAGAGAATGGCAGAGAGGGGCTTTTACAGGGTCAGTCTCAACGGCCAGAATCTTCAAGAAGCACTTAGTAGAGCCATCAACAGAAACCCCCAGGCTACATGCATGCCCACACACGCTCACACGCATGCTCACTCACACATGCTAACTCACACATGCTCTCACACATGCCCCCATATATGCATGCTCACACATATGCTCACGCACACATCCACACACAATGCTCACACAATGCCCCCACACATGCATGTCCACACAAGCTCACACATATGCACAGGCATGCCCCTACACATGCCCCCACACATGCATGCTCACATGCACATATGCATGCCCACACAAGCATACACATGTACTCACACATATGCTCATATGCACACATGCATGTTCACACACATGCCAACACATGCTCACGCCCACACACATGCACAAGCAAGGAAACCCCAAGCCCCAGGAAGCTCCTGGGCAGGACCCGAGGAGCCAAGTCCAGGCCTTGGAAATTTTCGGCTTGAGAAGAGACCAACTGGGTCACGTCCACCTGGATGGCTCCGCGGGCCCCAGGCTGCCCGGCTCGCCCCTCAGCTCTGTGCCAGCTGCAGCACAGGGTGGCGCAGCCCAATCAATCGCAGGAATGGAGAGACGACTGTGCCCGAGACAGGTGCTGAGAGCAAACACTCAGCCCGGTGTGCACGCGAGTGCACACTCAGAGGTGCCCAGGTTGAAACGAGGCCACCACAGGGCACAGGGTCAGTGTCTCATGGCTAGAGTTTCAATTTTGCAAGATGTCACAGTTCTAGAGATTCACTGAACAACAATGTGAATAAACTTAGCGCTACTAAATGGCACACTTAAAAATGGTTAGGATGGCAAATTTAATGTTCTCTGGTTTTTCTAACACAGTTAAGAAAAATAATACACAATGTCCTCCCCCACCAAGGGGCGAAAGGCTGTGCCCTGCACTCAGCCCCCATCCGAGCTGGGCTCTCTGTGGGCTCCAAGCAAAGGGGCCCCCGCAGATCACTCACAGCTGGGCCCCAGCTTGCCCCACACCTGAGGCACAACAGCACCCCAAGCCTGCTCACAGCCCAGGAAAAAACCTGGCCGAGGAACAAGAGCTGTACAGACCCTGGAAGGAGAGCACCACAACACCTGAATCCAGCCGCCACCTGGCCGAGACGGTGCAGCCCCAAGGCACATGCTCAGGAGGGCACACACCCGTCCCTTCTGCGCCCCGCGGAGCAGCGGCAGCAGAGAGCATCACTGAGACAAGCTCGGAGCTGGCACAGGGCTTGGGCAGAGTGGCCAGCACACCCAGGAACAGAGGCTCGGTGTCATCAGCCATCACAGAGGTGCAAACCCACAACCACAGCGGGCTGACGGCGCGGGCAGGGCGGGGAAACGGGAGCTGCCACTCTGCTGCGGGAACTAGCGGTGCGTAGCTGCAGTGGAAACAGTCGGCAGTCTCTTAAAATGCTGAGCCTGGAGCCACCTCTGACCTGGCAGTTCCCCAGCCAGGTGTGCACCCAAGAGAAGACACATGTCCACACAGAAACTTGTACCGGGTGTCCACAGCAGCCACGGGCTGATAAGCAGATAAACACGCAGGGCACAGCCATGCAGCCCTGGGACCTCACCGCTCCTTTGGGCTCAGGTGGCCCGTGTTCCCGCCACAGGAACCCACGTCCCCGCCCCTACAGTGACAGGGAATGGAGCAGGGACCTCAGGAACCCGCAGTCTGACCCGAGCACCCAGGTATCCAGGAAGGGCCGACCTCAACCCAAGTGCGAGGGCTGCAGACGCCCAGCGGTCAGGAGCCAAGTGGGCAGGGACGTGCCCGTCCGCCCTCGGAGCCCGGCCCTGCGTATCTGTGGGGCGAGGGGCAGCGTGGCGTGAGTGACCTCGCCGTTGGAGAGCTCGGTGCCCCGCCCTGGACACAAAGGAGGGCAAGTTCAGCCGCAGCCACCATTGCGGGGGGGCAGCTCCCACCACTTCTCCAAGGAGCCCCCAAACTCCAGTCCCTGGGGCCGTCAGGGACGCGCGTGTTTTCACTTCCGCAGCCCCAACCCTCACTCCGCACGCCCTGCAGCAATGGAAAGTGGGACTGACTCATGAAACCGCTGCTGCGGTTCCGGCCCTTTCACGTGTTCCCAGTCCTGTGCCACCTGCAGCTCCTCCACCGCCACAGCCCGCTCAGGGCAGTGCCAGGGCCGACGGGGCTACCAGGTTATGGACAACATGCGCGCGCCGCCTTAGAGTCTCCCGCTGCAGCCACGCTCAGAGACACGATTCCCCACAGGGGTCCCCGTGGCCCCCGCAGCCCGACCAGCTGTCACACCGAGCTGGCAAGGCCCGCAGGCAGGACAAGACCACGCAGACCGGGGTGGACGAGCTGCGGAGCGAGTCGGGACTCGCGGTTCTCTCCTGCGGGAGCACACGCAGCGTCCCGGCAGCCAGTGCCCCTGGACCTGGGGACTCGAGAACCCTGACGGGTCGGAGGGCGTCCTCGGCGTGCTTTTCCTGCCTGCGCCTCGTGACCGCGGCTCCCCAGACGCCCCCGTGCCCGCCACAGCCCTCTGCCGCCACCATCCTCCCTCCCCGGGGCCGCGGGCCTCGCCCTCCCTGCCTGGGCTCCGCCGGCCTCACTGCGCCCCGCTTGCCGCAGATGCTCTGAGCTGCGCCTGGGGGACAGCACCGCGACCACCACCGGACGCCAGGACCACTGCGCCAGCCACTCGCACCCCGCGGACCCTCCGCAGAGCTCCGCACACGGCCCTCCCCGCCTCCCCTCACTCGCGCTCACTCCCACACTCACATCCACACACTCGCGCTCACACTCACACTCCCACACTCACATTCTCACCCCCACACTCACACCCACACACTCGCTCTCACACACTCCCACACTCACACCCACACACTTGCGCTCACACTCTCACACTCACTCCCACACTCACACCCACACACTCGCTCTCACACACTCCCACACTCACACCCACACACTCGCGCTCACACTCACACTCACTCCCACACTCACACCCACACACTCGCTCTCACACACTCCCACACTCACACTCTCTCTCACACTCACGCTCACTCCCACACACACTCTCCTACACTCACACTCTCTCCCACACTCCCACACACACGCTCACTCCCACACACACACTCTCACTCCCACACTCACACTCTCTCACACCCTCTCTCACGCACACCTGCCCCCTTGCGGCCCCTCCCATCTCGGCCAAGGGCGCAACCCTCCCCTCCACCTCCGCCCCCGTGGCTCCCGCTCTGCCCTCACCGCTTCCCAGCATCCCTGCACTGCAGCCAGGTGCGCCCCAGAAATCATGCGGTGCTCCCTCGAGAGCCCTCCCAGCTCTCTCCAGTAAAAGACAGAGGCCTCCCATCTCTACCCTCTCCACCCACCTGCTCTGCTCTGCTCTGGGCCTCAAACCTTCCATCCTTCAGCCTCAGGGCCTTTGCACTGCCTGTACACTTAAAAATGGTTGGAATGGTGAGTCTTATGTTATATGTATTTTGCCACATTAACAAGGGGAGTCATCTCCCCTGGCAGTGCCGCTCGGGCAACAGCACTGTGAGCTGTAGCTCAGCAGGTCTGTGGAACTGTTTTAGACAAATTACTGCATTTTTATTCATTTTATAAAAAATGAAACTAAAATGCAAGTTTTGTGTCCAACAATAAGAAGGGGAGGCCCCATAAGCTCAACCCAATTGACAGAAAATCCCAGGCCTGCCTAACAATGCCCAGGGCCCCTAAACGTCCCACAACCCTGCAGCACACACCAAGAGGACAAAACACTGAAAATAAAACAGGAATGAGGAGATGTTCTGGAATGCATAATTAGAAATGTTAATACACTTTTTAAAAATACTCCGCATGTGAAAATATCCCCACCCAACATATAATCCTATTGTTTAGCTTCCAAGTGCACCCCTGAAGACGGGTGGGAAACACGCCATTTCTTGACATTCACAACTCAACCCACGATCTGATATGCCTACATTTGCCTCAAATTTTGTCCTACTGAACGTAAGGACTTTAACAACAACCTACATCCTCAATCAGGTAAATCTGGGTACAAAACGTCCTCCTCCCGGAGGAAAGGGCAGATGGCCCTGCTCCCCACTGCGGACGAGCCCACAGACCGCGTCCACACGCACCCAACACGTCTCCCGGGACGTGCTGAGGAAAACGGGGAAAGGCAACAGTAGGACGAGAGGAGCACAGAAAAGCTTCTGTCACTTATGGTCTCAAATTTCTAGAAAATAAACCCTCAAACATCAAAGCACAGGAAGTGCACATACACGCAAACACACACACATGTAAGTACATGCTCATGCACACACATATGTGCGCATGCACATACTTAGGAGCACTCTTCCGCCAAGATCAAAGACAAAATAAGGTTTTCATATGTACACATGCCAGAGGCCTTTATAAAATCAG